ACTTTCATTTACTTAGATAAGTTCAACTAAAAAACACTTCATTTTTGTAAAAGAAATAAATTCATTACTGTTGTATAATAAAATCAAATTTTTCCTTTTCAAGTATAAAACAAACAAAAAATTCATCTTTCTCACAAAACCATCTGGTGGCGAAACGGAGTTTGTCGGGTTTGCTAGTATATATATATATATATATATATATATATATATATATATATATATATATATATTATAAATAAATATTTTTATTTATTTGTTTTCTTTTATTTCGACGATTGTGAAAAAAACGATTGTGATTGTGGAAGATAAAAAAAGGGCTCTACTGACGAGACAACTGTCAGAAAGACATTTGAGAGAAAGTTGCACTTGTGATAAACATTGTTATTTGACCGTTTGTGCCTTTTGGAAGTTAGGTTTGAGAAGTACATTTAGAATACAGACCCGCATTTTTATTTTAATTTTTGTCTAATAGATAAAATTAGTGCTATAGTTTTTTAACAATTATTGTCTATTATATTTATATATTTTTATTTTATTTTATCGCATTCGATTATGTCACAGTACTTGATTGAATTATTACATAACTAACTTAATTAATAACTTATAAGAATCAATTATTATATTATATAATTAATGTTTCATTCAACGATTTAAATATACTTATTTTTATAATTATTCATACAAACTATTGTAATTATTATTATTATAGGCAAGAAGTAACATTATAAATTCTTCGGAAATTATTTCTTGGATTTAATAGTAATTAAAGTAATTAATGGAAAGGATTAAATAATAAAATTAAAATAGTATAATTCAAATTCACAAACCAAAAATTTTGAAAATTATTAACAAATATCAATAAACAAAAATTAATTAAAATTTTGTTTATAACTTGGAATTTAGCAAAATCGATATGTTCTGGAATTATATATTACGAGTATCAAAAATTTGGAAAAAATTTAATTACAATTTGCAAAAATATAAAACTCAAAAATGATTTTGTAATTTTTAAAATGGAATAAAATTCTACAACTAAAATTTAACAAATTTACAAAATATTACACACACACATACATTCATTTTTCTAAAATGTTTAGAAAGCTCTGAAACGTAAAGATATGTATATAAAAATTTCCATTTTCGATTTTCTTGCGATTAATATAAGTTACCTTACGGGACGTTAGAAAGTAATCAAAATAGTGTAAATTTTTTGAAATTTTTTTTTTATATTTTGAGTTTTTTGAAACTTGAAAAAAATTTTACTTTTTAAAAAAATTTAACATGTTTTTTAAACAATCTCGTGTTTCCGAAATTGTGGACAAAAAATTGTATCCGCACACACACACACACATACATTAATTTTTTTTAAGGTATGCCAAAATTTTCAGAAAGCCTTGAAACGTAAATATTTGAGTATACAAATTTCCATTTCATTTTCGATTTTTTTTGCGATTAATGAAAAATAATGTTAACAAAACAAAAATTGCAAATTCTCAATTGATTAAGTCCTTGGTGTAATGTGCATTTACTCAAATTACACCTAGTTTAAATGAACAAACCTTCAGCATCATTTACAAGATCTATGATTAATATAAATATGAAATTAAATCGTTTTACGTAATTTCTGCAATTATTTTCATTAGGTCGACTAATCGACATTTTAACCTTAGTGTCGTATGATTTATTCGCATGTTTGTTTATAATTTCAATAACGATCTAGACGTATTAATTTTTTCCACGATTTTATATCCTTCTCGCTTTACATAGTCAATGATTTTCATAATTCGCGTCCTCGCCGATTTTATTGAATTATTTTTTGTAAAAAAATTCATTATCGAAAAGAATTAATTGAACTAAACAAAGTAAAAAAAATGTTATTTTTCTTCATTTCTGTTTGTACAAGTGTTTTGCGAATTTACTTTCCTTGCAAATATTATCATAAACATCTGTTTTTATAAAATCGACAAATACATTTTTTTGTATAATTTATATAATATATTATATATATATATATATATATATATAATGTCATTTGCATCATCACTCCTCGTATTGAATAATTCAGGAGGTTGAATAAATCAGATTAGAATCGTCCTTGCTCGATTAAATTTAAATTCGCCGAAAAAAAACCTAAACAAACATTTCTATCTAGACGACTTCTGCTAATTTTTATCGATCGCATAATCATATAAACGATATTAATCGACGAATAACATATGTTAATTGGGAACCGATCAATGATTATATGGGAGGAATAGACTGAGGGCTGGAGGAAAATATATTGAAAAAAAAAATGCAAATCGACATTAAAAGGCCAATTCTGTAGTAACATAAACGATAACATAGCACTGATTTTATCTAATAGACAATAAATAAGAAATGCTATGTTACGTAAGAACTGTAAAAAGCTTTCTAATTCTAAATGTACTTCCTAAACCTAACCTCCAAAAGGCACAAACGTCAAATACAATGTCCATCATAAGTGGCAACTGCCTGTCAAATCTTTCAAAAATGTTTTTGCAAAATTTTCAACAAAATTGAAAAAGTGCGCCTTTCAGTCACAATCTAAACGCCATCACAAACACTTTTATGCGAGGTTGCCGCTTAGACTGCGCTTATCCTGTGCGCTTTCATATTTTTCATTAATTTTCACAAAATTGGAAAGTACTTACGTTAAGTCCAATCTAAACGCCATCACAACCACTGTTATCCGAGGTTGCCGCTTTATACTGTGCTTATCCGTGCGCTTTTTCATATTTTTCATTAATTTTCACAAAATTGGAAAGTGCTCTCACGTTTAAGTCACAGTCTAAACGCATTCGCGAATACATTTGTGTGACGTTGTAACTTAGACTGGGTTTTTTTACACATTTAGATTCAAGAGAATAGTATTTAAAATTAAAATGTTCCTAACTTGCTCGTCAGTGTAGTTTTTTTATATTTCAGTTTGCTCGTCAGTAGAGTTTTCTTTTTTTATTTTTTAGTTTATTGCTATTCAATTACTTGTCATAAGAGAGTCCTTTCTTTATATCTTGTGGTCTGATATTTAATTTGCTCGTCAGTAGAGTTCTTTTTTATATTTTAATCTGCTCGTCAGTAGAGTTCCTTTTTAACTTCCCGTAGGGTAAGTTATTGTAATCGTCCCAAAAATCGAAAATGAAAATTTTTGCACATCTACACGTTTTAGAGGTTTCTGAACAGTTTGGCATACCTAAGAAAAAATGGTTGCGTGAGTGTATTATGGGTACAATTTTTCATCACGTTTTAGGGCGCACGAATCAACCGATTGAATAATTCAAAAAACATTCGATTCCTATTGATAGGGAGATGTGCTGATTAGTTTTTGGCAAA